AAAGAGAGTTAATGACTCATTGCAGTGGCAAATCCATGGTGTCGCTTCACAGGGTACCAACCTCCCTGCTGTTTTTGGTGGTGTTGACCTTTCAGAAAAAAACACACAGAGCCACAGTGCTGGCTGCCAGGGATTGCCACCACCCAACGAGCCCAGATTAGAAAAGACAGCAGGCTTGAAGCAATGACAGGGAAGACAGATGAACCAACCATTTTGTTCTGTTTTGTTTCTAGTGAATCTTCTGTTCATGTCAATATTAATTTAAATGCTGACATGTTGCTTCTAGAGAATGTTCTACTAATAAGTAAAGGTTTAATGGTGGTTTTAAAAAAGTGCTGTTCTAGCACTTGTAACAGAACCAAGCAAACTCTGCCTTTTATCAGATTTAACTGTTACTTACTTGCTTCTTTCTTTAGATTGTGAGCTCCTGGCTCCAGGGCCACATTTTATTCATCTATATCCTTTACAGTGTTTATTTAGCACAATGATTTGCACGTTGCAGCTGCTCAATAAAATGCTTATTGAACTGGCTCTTATCAATATACCTGTGTTTTTATTTTGAAACACAACAGCAGGAAAGATGAAGCAATGAAATGAATCTTTGTAGTTTTTGATAAGTAACGCCACGGCTCAGTGGTCATGATTTACAAACAAGGCCACATCACAGTTATATCACAGGAAGTTGTGTCCTGAGAAACTAACAAAATAACATCAAATCTAAAACACAAGAAAAGGAATGCTTTCTGTTGTTATTCTTGTACATTTTTCTTTCTCTTTAGAGGTTTATGTTCTATTGACTCTAAGTGAATAATCATGTTACTGGAAATAAAATCATTATAGATATATATCTAAGTAATTTTGCCAAAGGATATTACATTCTAAGTTTATCACTCTTACTATCTGATAATATGACATATTTGAAATTCTTTACAAACTGGTACCAAAGACCCAGAGAACACAATGTTTGGGATAATTTTGGAAACACTAGGCACTCAGAAACCCCATGAACCAAGCTTTTCAAATTTAAATCCCTGTCCTTTGCAGTAGCTGCCTGCTCAAATGGGCAGAAGGCTCTTTTAGTGAAATGATTAAATCAGGTAGATCACATACAGACTTCCAGGACTCTCTCAATGTTTTGAATCTGTTAAACAGAGAGAGTAGCGGAGAGCTGTTATATAACTTCACTGACCATGATGGTGAAATGCTTGGATGTGACACTCTCTACCTTAGCAGTTGAGTTCACTTCATCAGCATGATCACAAACCACTATTGTATCATTTATTAACCCCAGAAACATTGAGGAAGGGTCTATATTCTGTTCATCAGTGTTCAGGCTCTGGTGACACAAACATTTGGTTTCTGCTTTCAACAAGGACTAGGGCAGGCACAAGGTGAAGAGAAAAATGCAGTGAGGTGCTATGAATAAGGAAGTAATGTTCTAGTTGAGTCCAACAATATATAGGCTTCTGTTAGATGAACAAGGACAGAAAGGGTGATCCACGGTAAGGGACAAGGAGGAAGAAAAGATGGAAGAATGACCTAGAGTTATTCCTATAGCTGGAGGTTTGGGCAATGCTGGGAGGGTGGGCAGGGTGAATCTAAAGGAATTCTGGAGAGCTAATGGGAGGAATGCAGAGCCTTGTACCATGAGATAGGCAATAGGGATATATTGAAAGGTTTTCATCAGGAAATAACACGACTCATTCTGATTTTAAAAATCTCTAGGGTATTAGTAAGGAGAATGAGCTGAAGGAAAGTAAGATGATTGGTGATAAGATTAGGAAAAAATTAGTAATAACTTTGGTGAACAATGAGACATGCCTGAATTTACTCAGTGACCATGGAGAGAGTAAGATGGAGATCCCCTAGCAATACCTATATAATCTTTAAGTAGCAGCTGGTAGATGTAAACTTTTGGTTTTGAATGGGGATCTGGAGTAGATATTACTATAGATGTCAGAGATGAGAGAAAGAGATCAGTCTAGAATGGTGAGTCCCTGATTTCTGTCTTGATAACAATAAGATGAAAGTTGCTGGAAAATATAGGGCAATATGAGGATATGGGGAGAAAGATGATCAAGTTTTGTCCCAAATGGAAAATTCTGTGTTTGTAGGGTCTGTGGAACACCTATGTAGAGATGTTTCATGGGTAGCTAGACATGTGGGTTGAAAACAAATCTGGGCCAGGTACAAATATTCAGTGGTCATAATGGCGGTAGAAGATGCCAAGAAGCATATGAGTTTGCCCAGTGAGGGGAAAAACAAACAAACAAACAAAAACAGGTCCAGAAACTTATTACTTGGTTAATTGACTGAATTAATTCAAATTGATTGTTGTCTTGAAAATATAATGCATCTACAATACCCTACAATATAAACCCTACATAATCCATAGTTTTTCCCATCCCTGTCCCATCAATTGTGGGCATGGGCACTATTTCTCCTGCAAGACCTTAGGAGTGAGGACTTGAGCATCTGAAAATGTAGTTCTCTGAGAGGTAACTACAAACTATTTGAACAAAGCAGAAGCAGTAGATGTGTCTGCCTGAACACACACAGTGAGGATTTGAATTTGGTATACATAAAAAAGGAAGGAGAACATAGTGACTTTATTACTACTACACAATTACAAAATAGTTCTGAAACTTTCACTCCAAGAAACCTCAAAAAAATATAAGGAACTGTCATGACATTGTATCCCACAGTCCTAATGGTTTGACGTGATCACTGTCAAAAGTGCTTCCAATATTTTGGAAAACGAAAAATAAATTTTAAACCTAAACTGCCAAATTAAAAGCATCACCCTGTAAAAAGAAAATGACACAAAACTAAATACGAAGAGTATCATTAACCAAAAGGAACTAACACTAACTCAGAGGTTCTCACTTGAAGTTGGGGGGTAGTACTTAAAAAGAATCCAATACCTGGCTCCCCACCCACAGGCAAGTACATCACAGGCAAGGGTAGTGAGATTGGGGCCTCAGTACTATTTCTAGGGCTCCCCAGGTGACTCTCCTGTACAGCCAGAATTTAGAACCCTTGGACTCAGTACACAGGCAGAAGAGAAAGGAAAAGAAACTAGTCTGACATGGCAGAGAAGACCTTAGAAGCCATATTGCACTTATGATGACTATCAGAAGCTCATGGGAAGGACCCAAAATGTTCTGTTGACCTATGCGTGCTACTGAGCAAACATTCATTAAAACAGTGTACACAGCTTTCACTTGTGATTATTGTAAGGGAAAAGGACTCAAGAGAAAAGCAACACATATGATGAAAGGGAATGAAAAATGCAAACTATATTACGAAATAATTGTAGAACTTTGGACTACATTAAGTTCAAAAGAAAACATGAAGCCATAACTCAACAACTATTTTTAAAATTATGAAAAAGTCTTCTGGTGTCATATGGATGCAGGTTATATTAGCTATTTTCAGAAACACTATTTGACAATATTTCTCTGTAGTTATTTCACACAGTACTAACAATTATTAAATGTAAGTATATGCATCTTAAAGAAAAAAATTCAGACTTACAAGAAACTTCTCAGTTTATAAGTTTACCCACTGAATATTCTTTTTGATGACTTTTTTGTGGGTTTCTTGAAATAGGGTTTCACAACCAATTACAACACAAACCATATGCACCCACTCTTCTTCCTTCTTTGCCAGCTAGGACACTAAACGTTCTCTGACATTTGCAGCCCTGTTTTTAGCACCAGACAATACATTTACTGCAGTATAAACCCAGAGGTCAGCAAAGGAAATCAATCTCTCTTTCATGGCAACTGACAGATTCAAAATGCTGTACAGAGATTGAACGTATTGGCATTTTCACTTAGGAATTTTGTCCAACCTGTACTTAGTTAACTGAGAACAGAACAGCCTGTCATCAAACAGTCTCACATCACTTTGTACACTTCCTGGCACATTTCCCTCCTAGTGGTAGAGTTTATTATATATGTCTTTCTTACCTTCTGCTGTTGTAATATAATATAATATAATATAATATAATATAATATAATATAATATAATATAATATAATATAATATAATTAAAGTTCACTTGTGATTCTCCCAGTTCCCAATGAAACCTGGACTTAGTGTTCTACAATATTAGTTTAGTAAATGAATAAATGAACGAATAAATGAATACATGAATAATAAACCAAGCACCTCACTGTCATGTTATTTTGTTGGCTACCACACGATCAAGTTAGTACATTTCTTTTTTATTTGCTCACTCACTCTTTAACTCAGTTTTAACTGAAAACCTTCCATGTGTTCAGCATGCTGCTGAGCAGTCAAAAGGAATAGCCCCTGTTCTCTAGAAGTTAAGAGCCCAGCAAGAAAAAGTCAACATAAGCAGCTCTAGGGCTCTATGTGCACAAACACACAAGTTGATGCATGTTAATATGTTAGACATACTGAGTTAGACACACCCATTTAGTTGAAAAATAAACACTAAGCTGATGTTAACATGAAGCACCAATGCCACTGATAAGCAGGGATTAAGAGCATTTGAAGGCAACTCCCATTATCTCTTATTTGGCTGCCACAAGTTTGAGGGGCGTGTCACACGGAGCAGTCTAGAAGGGGATGGAGTTGTGGGATGACTGACCCATAGAAAACAGGTGGGGCAGGAGATAATTCCGAGTTCCACAAGTGTGGCCTCAGAGAAAACTTGCTCTGGGTTACCTAGGTTAAGGTGTTCTTGAGAAACTTGTCCACAAAGTAGAGGAAATAGGTAATAATATGAGAGGAAACCAAAGAAATGAGGTAGCCTGAGGCCACCATAATAAAAAAAATTTTAATTTTGCTTAAATCTTTGACCCACCTTTAGCATATTCTTGGATGCTCTTAGAGGTATTCACTCCATTGAAGGAGGATATTGTACTTTTTTAACATTAACATTGAGTCAGGTTCTTTCTCTTAACCCAACAATGAGAGGGGAAAAGCCCCTTTTCTGAATGAACATATAGCAAACTGGAATATACATACTCATCCTTGTCCACCTTTTCTCGGAGCTTCTTTAGTTGTTTATTTTGGCCAAACTTCAAGTTTTGAATTATGTTCTCAAAGTATTCATCTTCCTTGTAGTTCAACTATATTACATAAAAGGTTTTGGGAAAAATAGTCAAAATTTCTGCTAAAAAAACATAGGGAACATTTTCTTAAATCGTATCAGTTAATAAAGTTAACGGAGAGCATTAAAACTTACCAAAGAAGGATTTAATTCCATTTAGCCTAGTTCTATATAATAGGTCACTGTCGCTCTAACTAAATCGCTACTTTAGTCTATTCTTCTGTAACTAATCAAATGAACCGAGTGTCAGACAAGCTTTCCTATATTGATAGTAACCCTTACATGACAGATAAGAGCACATTCCATTTTAGCACCTACAATGTACCAGGCACTGTTCTCAGCACTTTATATATTACATGTTTTTAATCCTTATAATAATCTTATGAAGATGGGTTGTTATTGCCATTTTAAAGCTGAGGAAACCAAGGCAATTAAGTCACTTGCCCAAGTTAGTGAATGGTGGAGCTGGGATTTGAACCCAAGAAGTTCCCTGTGGGTCTATGTTCTTAGCCATCAGACTCCTGCCACAAAGGACCCCAGGACTCAGATGCTGCAGCCAGCTCATTTACAAGAAATAGTCAAGCTTTTCTATAAATGTAAAGAGAGAAGAGGACACTGTGGCTTGCAAACTCCCATGTTAGACCGGTAATCAATGGATTAGGAATCACTGACATCCCCACTTCTGGGCAAGGATCACCTTGTTGTCACCAGGGTCTCAAGGAGTTGCAGGGACCAAGATTAGCAACAGGATCCTCAGCTGGGTCTTAAATCAATAGTGTAGTGACTTGAATCAATTCCGTTCTCTTTTCATTGTTACATTACCAGAGGGGAATAAAACTGATTCTGGTTTTCAAATGGTAGGTTTTTGTTTTGTTTTATTTTTTTTTGAATACAGAGGCATAACCTGGTTTTTATCCAGTGGAGGAATAATAGGAAAGCGAAGGGGAACTGAAGACGTGACTTTCCAGGCCTGGACCAGAGGAGATAAGGAGCCTGAGTGCGGCCTGTTGCTCATCACTTTGATGTCTACCCCTTGATGCTCTTTAAAGGACACCAGATTTTTCCAGTACTGTTCAATGGAATATATGGAGACCAAGATCACAAAAACCAAATATGAACCAGGCCAATGAAACAAAAGGCTTAAACTAAAACACAAGTTCTGGCTTCAGTGGAAAAGGCTTTTATATAACAAGACCTTTGGCCTTAGGCTACTTCACATCATTTCGGGCACCCCACAGCTGCAAATGACATCATCACCAGCCCCAGGTATCATTAGCACAGTCTGTATAGAGACTTACCTCGAGGTATTCATTATTCAGTTTGTTGTCATTTGAAATAATGTCATCAGGATAGCCAATTCTTTCTTTAATTGCTAAGGCCTATGAAAATTAAAATATTGAATATAAGGATAATTCTATAGCTTTCAAATGCAAACATTATATATATATTTTTTAAATGCAAACATTATAATTTGCCCATGACTGCCAATTGAATAACCTGCTCCATACTGTTTACAAAGATAGTATCTGACAACACTTAAATAGAGATCTTTGCAATGGCTTCTCCCTGGGGTTGAAAATAAACAAAAACCGGTTCTGAAATGTAGCTTCTAATACCCTATTCTTATAGGCTCCAGCTTTCCCAAGAAAACCAAAATGAAAACTGACAAGTCATTGTTCCTCATGTATTGTACTTCTATGAAATTTTTCTCTGAAAGGCTTTTTTCTTCCATTTCTTAGGAGGGGTAAGTAATAGAGCTTCCATTCTACCAGCTTATAATTGTCTTTCCATTTCACTGATTTGGCTGAGAAAACAGATATGGGCTTACAAGTTTAGTGCTAATGTTCTTTCTGAGTATGGAGTCCTGGAGTTTATATGTTCTCTTTTGGTCTCCAAGGCCAGTGTACCTATCTTCCACAGTTAAATGAATGGCATTATTTAAATGAGTAGAAGACAGGACTTGCCTTGTTGTACTAGCTCATGTTTACCACTTGCTTACTACCCTTGCTAATTTTTATTTTTATTATTTTAAAATTGTTTACTTTTTTTTTATTATTTTATTACTAGTTTACTATTGCAATATCTTTCCATTTTTTATTTCTCTCATTTTTTCAAAGATATTTGACTTTTGATTCTATCATATTACATTGCTCTTAAATATTTTAATTATGCAGGGCGCCTGGGTGGCTCAGTCAGTTGAATGTCCGACTCTTGGTTTCGGCTCGGGTCATGATCTCACAGTTTGTGAGTTTGAGCCCCGCTTCGGGTTCTGTGCTGATGGTGTGGAGCCTGCTTGGGATCCTCTCTCTCCCTCTTTCTGCCCCTCCCCTGCTCACTTTCTCTCTCTTTCAAAATAAATAGATAAAAACCTAAAAAAGTAATTTAATTATGCTACAAATCTGTTTCATAAGCACAGGATTTCCGCAGTGGATCAGACAGGATATGCGTAAGTCTGTTTTAGGCCAAGCCCATTTTCTTGTAGGTTTCCACACCACTGCCCATTACCATCAGCCCCTTCTCAGAGGTTTTTTATTTTCTAGAAGACACTTCCCCAAAGAGTGTCCTAAGGGACACAAACTACAGAATTAGGTCTACATAAAAAGGATTTATTGTCAAATACTTTGGGTAAATACTGTGACAAAAACATTCAGCAGGCTTCTTTACTGCAGCTTAAAATTAGGTAATTGTAAGTGTCCAATTGTAAGCATAAGGAATTAATTTGTCTATTTACTCACTCAATACATATTCAAGCATCTATGATGAGTCGGGTACTTTGTAAGGGGCTGAGAATACAATGCTAGGAAAAAATTTCTCCCCCCAGAGAGCTTACCATAAAGTTCAATGACAGACAATGTAATGAGTGTTAGGTATGGTGCCTTAAAATCATCTCCCAGAAGCATGTAACCTAGTCTAGGGTGGGATCAGGAAAGTCTTCCTACAGGAAATGTTCCCTAAATTCTTTGACCGTGAGAGTCTTCTTCAGGGAACTACTTGTGGGTTCAGTGGCTTATGATACTGCCTTGGGAAAAGATGATCTAGCATAATCCAGTTGTGCTACATCAAATAGACCCAGGTCAAGATAGCTAGAACATGAAAGGAGTAGACCCGGCCTGAATTTCTGAGGAATTTCTGAGTCAGTGATGAAAAGACAGATATACTTTGGTGCCTAAATTCTAGACCTAACCTATCTCCAGCTTTGAGAATACTGAAAAAGATAGTCCTTCCACATGATTTAATCCTGGAAAGAACTAGACTGTATCTTGGTTTTTTATTATAGTAGGTTCATAGACTCTTTCTGTATCAGTTTGAAGAATGGTCTGTTCTTCTTGCCATCCCAACTATAGAGGAATTATCAGGTTGCATGTGAATTTTGCTGCCAAAGTATATAGAATTTCCACTGGACATATTCCTTCTAGTTTTATATAGTTATCAAGACAAATGACCGTAGTAAGTTTAAACCTAAGATTTCCTTAGGCATCTGACACCTTTATTCTTTAAAAAAAATTTTTTTTAACATTTATTCATTTTTTGGAGAGAGACAGAGCATGAGTCGGGGAGGACAGAGGGAGACACAGAATCTGAAGCAGGTTCCAGGCTCTGAGCTGTCAGTGCAGAGCCTGACGCCAGGCTTAAACCCATGAACCATGAGATCGTGACCTGAGCCAAAGTCGGACACTTAACCGACTAAGCCACCCAGAAGCCCTGACACCTTTGTTCTTATGCAAGATATGAGAAGTCCCAGTAACAGGTGCACAATGGGGTAGATAAGAATAGCTATAACAAGGCTCCTTCAACATCCCTTTAACTGTAGATCACCATGTAATACTCAAATAATGCATCACCTTACACTTACAGAAATTTAGCACTTTTCTCCCTAGGTCATATAAAAGTCTAAATCAGGCATGTTTTCTAAAACTTGAGCTGGAAATCTGCATTAAACATTAAGGGATATTTTTTAGGCTTTAGTAGAGTCCTTTTGCATAAGCTTTATGAAAAGAGGAGATGAACCATTGATAGTATCTTTCGGTTCTTGTTCATCTAAGATTTTTCCTTGTTTTCTGAAGACTCCTTAAAAAAAAAAAAAGAAAATTGGAGATCTTTCAAAGGTTTGAACTGAACATGGACAGTAGGAGCTGGATGCAAAGAGATAATAAAAGGTGAAAAATCATAGAAACAAATCTTTATCCACGAAAACTGTTCCTGGAAACATGACATCTTGAAGGAGCTTGCTTAATTTTATGCAATCCTTGAACTTCTTTCTTCTGAACTTCCTTAAAAGTTGATCTTTGCTTGTAAAGCAATTGTTAGCTAATAGTGAGCTTTGTGTTTCTTTTTTACCTTTTCCTCAGCTTTCTTTTTCGTCTCAGCATCCATCCAAGTGAGGTCATCTAAAGTCTGGATAAAAACCTCTCGGATCTGTGTAATCAAATCCTCAACCTAAAATGAAAGGAACAGAAGACAAATTTAGGCCATGAATTAATTTTCTGTAACACAAATTTTAACAAACAGGGCTTTGAGCTGCCTTTATAGGACTCAATAATATGTTAATGCATGTAAATTTATAGACAAACCATGACCTAAACAAATGGATACATGTGGATAATTATGTTTTCAAAGGAATCTTGCTACTATTGACACTAATGGTGAAATAGGTCTTATATATGCATTAATGAAAAAATTATCTTTAGAATGTAATGGCTTCAGGACGCCTGGGTGGCTCAATCTGACTTTGGCTCAGGTCATGATCTCACCATTAGTGAGTTCGAGCCCTGTGTAGAGTTCTGTGCTGACATCTCGGATTCTGTGTCTCCCTCTCTTTCTGTCCTCCCCCACCTGTGCTCTGTCTCTCTTTCTCTCAAAAATAAACATAAAAAAAAAAGAACATAATGGTTTCCATTATCATAAAAAAAAACACATAAAATAGTAGCTGTCATCACTGTTAGTAGTTCAATTAAGCATAAAGTAGCATTTTAATAGTTTCTTTCACTTAGTCTTTAAGTTCCATGGTCTTCATTTCAATAACAATGAAAAATGGAGTACTTTTTTAGATATTTCAAATAAACCCTAAAACCTTACTTTCAAAGTTTTTCAGAAAACTAATTCTTGGTCAGTCTTGCCAATAGGAGAATTTACAATTACCTGTATCAACAGAACATGTGAGTGAGTGGGTACTCTGAATACATTGTTTCGGGACGGGGGACGATTGGTTTTGGACTAGACAACTTTAAGATCAGAAACAGAAGCAGATCTTTTGGGAGAGGGAGGAGGAGAGTGGTTGAGAAATAACCACAAATTGTGATACAGAGATTCTCCGCCAATTAATAAACTTTAGCCCAATTATGAACTATTGTAATTGCCCACTGATGGAAACAATTAACTGATAAGAGTATTGTGCTGAAAACATTACCACATGTTTACTCTCTCCAGCGAATGCAGCTTCCACGTACAGCCTTCCCACAGCATTTTCCATATTCCCATTGACATAGTTCGCACAACGTCTCCACGTTGCTGTCTCTGATGTTGTGCCATAAAGGGCCTAAGGGCGAGAGAAAGGAAATGACATCTGACCACGAGAAGATGGCCAGAGCAAGGTAGAACACATATTTCACAGGGACTCTGTTCTTTATGTCCTCTAAATTCTGCTTCTCCTCACAAGGCATGTTGTCCTTGCCCAAGACAAAAACGTAATCCAACTGGAGCATTTACTTACAAATAATCTGAAAACAAGGTATATTTTCGGCAGCACATCCCAGTGGAACTTTGGGCCGTTACAGGTGAATACCCTTGTAGACAGTTTTAGAAAACAACAACAAAATGGCCCCCCTTCCACCAAAACCAAAAATATATATATAACAGTTACAACTGCATAAACGTAAACACGAAGTGATGTTCAATTTATGTAACAAGGGAGGTATCTGGTATATAAGAAAACACATTTCAGTTTTTTAATAATTTAGCTGAATTTCCAGTACTTAGAAGAACTGTATGTGAATAATTTTAAGTACTAACGAGGGAATTAACTGAGGTGAGGGAAATCGAGCAAAAGACCATTTTTGCAGGCTTTAATTTCAAAACTTTGTCTACATTTTCTTTCAAAGGGTAAATGCTAGAAATGTCAAATAAACAGTTGTTTCCTTTCCATAACACCAATCAATACGTTTGCCAGAGTTTTTCCTCTTCAATCCCTCCTGCCCTCTCCCCTCACCACAGCACTAATAGGATGATTGTTTAAATAATGCAGGTACAGCCTAGTAAAAAGCCTTAAGGTTGTCTCCAGGTAGCTGTACTCTCAGTGGATTGTCCACATCAAAGTAGTCCACCAGTCTTTATGTCTAGTGTGCTACGGGCACCTGAAAATGAAATTTATTCAGATAGACCCCCTTGCAGTTACGTTTAACACAACAAAAAACCAAGCCAGTATTCTCTCACCAACTGCTCAAATAACCAAATGCATCTCCTTCCAGGGCAATTCAATCATGCTGCCAGAGTAGACAATCATGGGATGGCAAAGCCCTTGAAAGCTGGCTTTCCTAGGCAACAGAGCCAAAATACGGGCAAAATAACCAACATTTGGCATTTTGACTCTTGGCAAAGTTCACCACATTCTAGCACATGGCAAGCCTTCATAACCATGTATCTCTTTATGCGTTAAGTCTTAAGAAAAGAGAGATTTTTTCTTCACCTTGCGGAAAGCATTTCTGGACTCCTTGTAGGTTCGGCTGAGGCTGCTTACAAGATCCATTATGAATCGCCAGGACATTAAATTTTGAAGATCTCTGTATAAAAAAACCCACCACCCAGCAACAGAAAAGATGAGGCTGCAAAGCTTCTAAAGAGTGATATTAAATGTAAATTTTGAGGACATAGGCACTCTGACATACCTACCTGGCAGAATATTTGGTAAGAGTGAGCTTAAGTTTGGTTAAATATTCTGGAGCATAAACAACCACCTCTTCTTCATTTGGAATATTAATATTCACAGTTGACATGATTTCATTTGTAAAATTTGACCAGCTGAATGGCTGGAAAAAAGCAGGCATAAAACATTCAGTCATTTTGGATTTCTCTTCTTGGTTCTAAGACTCAATTATGGTTATGGAGTCAGACATGGTTAGAGTGTCATTTGCATCACTATAGAATTACCACAATGGCCAGTTTATTTGCGTGCGATTTTTCCTCCATTGTTTCAATCAGTTCCTGAATAGAAATTAGTTCTGTAGCATGATTATTTAGAGAGCAGCATTCAACCAACCATTTAAGAGCAAAAGCAAAGCCCTTAAGCATAGAGAATATACAGCTAGAAATTAAGCTCGATGTCATCTTCTTGGTCTAACTCACATTAAAAAAAAAATGAAAAAGCTTTATAAAATAAAGCTTCCTACATTTATGCAAAAATTTAAATGGGTATAAAGTGATTATCTTTTAAAGGTGGATATTAAACAATCCATTCAAACACAGTGATACATCTCAGTGGAGATCCTGCTATAAATGAAAGTATACTATTGTAGGAGAGGTACAGTAATGTCACAGATACAACACAAATGGTCCAATGAAGCCAAACAACACATTTGAAACTATCAATATTGGGTCTATAGGCATATGCAATTTTTACACTTTGGAGCTGCTAAGAGATGAAATCTTATCTGTTATTCTCTAAATGGTTATTCAACCACCAGTAGATGTAAGAAAAAAACACAGATGTAGAAGTACATAAAAATAAAGATCACTAAGTATGTAGTACTATATACTTGTCTTAATTTCCTTTGGTAGTTTGGACCATTGTTTCCAAACATATTTATTAAAACCCTTAACACTTATTATTTTAAGCAGCTTCATGTGAGAAATTCCTAACAATAGGTCATGCCTTTACAAAATATCCCCCCTCCCTTTTTTTCCTGTAATTAGTGCCAAAGAGAATTCTATCAGTGAATGTGATGGTTTGTAGATTTTCCCATGGATCTTGCTACTTTTCACAATCATGTGTATGAACTTATACACAAGGATACACGCATAGTCCCCAAAAGAGATTATTATGTACTGGCTAATGAATTACAACTGTTTATAAATGGAATCTATGAGACAGATTTTTCTTCTTATTTCTTGTGTTCTATTTCTCCACTATTGCTCGGAACATCTCGATAGATGGCCTTGATGAGAATATGGCAAGTTCCATAAATAAATTATCCTTTTTAAGAGTTAAAAAGAAATCTAGTGGCTTTATTATTTGACTGGCCAAGTCCAATGGCTATACAGTTGTATTTCAGAAGGATTTTCCAGTTTAATGTTTTCCAAACTTTTTGTTACAATAGTCTAATATCATTGCATAGCTGCCTTGAAAGGAGTTTTAATTTGAAATTCACTCTAACTAAATATAATACAATGATTTCACATGATTTTTTTTTTCCCAGTCTTGTCATCAGGTCAAATGGTTGGTGTCCTCTAAATTCATTTTGACATTCAATTTATTTCAAAAAGTAAATAATCACTGAATTTTAACCAACTATATTTCAATGTTATAATTTTAGAAATGACACAATAACAGAGCACATAAAACTTGGTACTTACCTTCCCATTGATCTCTAGTGAAAAGTTATTTTGGAGCTGGGCTAATGTCATTTTGTTATAAAGAAGCATTGGATCATTTCGATCTTCAGATTTAGTTGTAGCCTATGGATTTAATTTTTGATCATTGTTTTAGAACTAAGAATGATTTAGAAAAATATAACTCTATATGAAGGAAAAAGAAGTATGGAATAGGTACAACATAACTCAAGCTCTATTTTGTATACTTGTTTAATGGTTAAAATAAATTGATATCAAAAAGAGAAGTGAAATTTAGGAGATTTTAAGTATATTTAGTAATAATCATCACTATTTGGCTGCCATGTCGAATACAAAATTCTACAAAAATCTTTTTGTACTTTGACAACTGCTGAACCACACAGACAGTGTCCACAGGCCTCTTTCTTTTTAAGGGTCATGGCCAGCTCAGTTGTTGCTGTGGTTGGTTTATATGATAACTTTCTCAAATACAGTCTTCTCCAATGCAGGTCTCAAATACTCTCTCCCACCTCCTCATTGCCACTATCCAGCGTCCCAGGTAAAATCCAGACAGGAAAAACAAAAACAAAAACAAACCAAAAACCATAATGACTTCTGCAAGAATTTAAAGCCAGTAAGAGAGAAAATTCCTAGTGCACACCACAGTCATACGAGGAGAGTGCCAGCACCTTCTATTTTTGTGACTCCTATCCCACCTAATTAGTTTAACACACTATACTCAACAGCATCCAGTTTTATTTACTTGTTTGTTTATTTTTCACTCAACCAAAAAAGAAAATCGTAGTAGCAACTCCTCAACTAGTGGCTGAAATTAGCAAAGTCAATTTTAAGTGAGGAGAGACAAAAGGTAGAAGTTTAATATGGGAATTATTTCTCGGTGACAATGGCTCCAATTTCCCCTTTAGGTACTTATTTATTCATTACTTAAAAAATTATTTATTGAACATCTCCTGAATGCAATAATTAGCCGGATTCTGTTAGAGATACACAGGTGATTCAAACAAGACTAAGACCTCACCTCAACCTGAATTTAAGAGAGAAGGAAAAACAAAGACACGAATAATTCTGAGGTAAGATACAACTATCACAGAGCTAAGGCTGATCAAAGGATGACATGGTCTGGGAACGGCCAAGTGGTAAAAACCCAGGGCAATAAACTATTCTCCTCTCACCACTCTGTGTCCAGCACAGAATCACATGTAACCCATCCAAACGCCATTCATCCAGCTGCAGCTCCAAGCAAAGTCTGGCTCTGATTGGAGATTTTTGGTCGCATGTAGCTCCAGGAAAGCTAAAATTGCCCTCAAAGATCTTTAGTCTTCAAGATGCTGAGGGCAGTGGCAAGCACATGGGGATTTAGGAACACGGGTTGTTGTTTGCAATGTCAGAGAGAGGTCTGTAGATTCTAGACTGAACCTGACCATGCGTTTAATCAATAACCTTGATACTGCTTAGACAGAATTAACTCCTTGAGACCGCAGACTCTTGTCAGAGCAAAGTCAGACAAGAAAGTGCCAATTCATGCCTGGGTGGCTCAGTCCGTTAAGCGTCTGACTTCAGCTCAGGTCACCATCTCACGGTCCATGAGTTCGAGCCCCGCGTCGGGCTCTGTGCTGACAGCTCAGAGCCTGGAGCCTGCTTCAGATTCTGTGTCTCCCCCTCTCTCTGACCCTCCCCCGTTCATGCTCTGTCTCTGTCTCAAAAATAAATAAACATTAAAAAAAAAAATTAAAAAAAAGAAAGTGCCAATTCAGACTCCAAGGGTTCATCTGAAACTAGAGAAAACTCAGGAAAACACCCTGTGGGCTTTGCTGCTAAACCTTGCCTGTCAGACCCTTTGAGCCAGCCTGGTGGTCTGAACTCAGTAACATCACACTGTCATGTGGTCATATTCAGGGACTAGTATTTCTAAGCAAAAGGACAGTCAATCTCTGTGATCACCTTAAACTTTAAAATAAAGCAAAGGAAAACTATACATAGCAATGGCATGTGCCCTGAATCTCAAGGACATTTCAACAAATGACTGCAAATAGGCTTTTGGTATAATCCACTTATAATAAGTAATTAAGTGTATCTAGTTTAATATTTGCCAAACTTAGTATGCCTCCTGGCTATCAGGAACCCAGTTTACTACAAAACTCTACAGTTTCAAAGGTCCTCATAAAGTCAATGATTCATTACTGAGCTATGCATTCTTACCAGTTGGTTACAAAGTTGCACATTTTACCTTTAAAATATGATAGAGAGGAGAAAAGAAAAAAAGAGTGGTGAAAATTTAGTGTATTAAAAAAAATGTGTTTTACATTGGCAATTTCTTTTTCCAATTCCATAACTCTCTTCATTTCCAAAGAAAGTTGGTTTTCATCGATGGGCAGTCCTTTCTCCTTACGAATCAATCTGGCCACAGAAATCATAAAATCCACGTATGCTATACAAGCCTGCAAGAAATAAATAATAATGAACTGTCGGAGAACATTCTAAATATTTAGCATGACGATTTAACTTAAAATTTATTAATTTTTGGTAACACATAAAGCGCAGTAAAACAAATATCATTTTCTAAATCCTAAAAGAAATGACCTGCCCAGGGGCGCCTGAGTGGCTCTGTCCGTGAAGTGTCTGACTTCGGCTCAGGTCATGATCTCAAGGTTCATGAGTTTAAGCCCCACATCAGGCTCTGTGCTGACAGCTTGGAGCCTGGAGCCTGCTTCAGATTCTGTGTTTCCCTCTCTCTCTGCCCCTTCCCCACTTGCGCTCTGTCTCTCAAAAATAAATAAACATTAAAAAAAATTAAAAAAAAAAAAGAAAAAGAATAAGAAATGACCTGCACAAATTCTTAGAAAGTCATCATGTGTTTGAATTAGAGCAGAACAAAAAAAGTATCATTTGAAGGTACTAAGTAATTTATCACTATTTGATTTGGGAATTCTATAATTTTCTATTCATTATCAAGTTATTTTAAATTGCCTTACTAAGAATGCAGTTGCAAAAACACTTGATAAGCAATAACCTAGCATTTTTTCTTGAATAATAATAAATTATTTTACTGAATTCCATTCTCAGATTTTCTATGCTTATGTATGTCCTTTTCAAATGTTCTTGAAGAGATGGCCACAAACTCATATAACATTATCAGGACATCTTTAGATCTTTTCTTTGGCCAAGCATTTGTTTTTTGTTTATTTTTGTTGTTTTTGCTGCTGTTGTTGTCTAAGCAGCAAATGAGACTGTGTGCTCATAATTTGGCTCACAATATAAAATTTCTATATCTGGATATTTGAGCTTTTCTAAGGACTTAAATTCTTTCCATTTTATCTTCACATGCATTTTAACTTTGAGAAGGTAAGCCATAAACTAGTTATATTATCAACCTTTTACAGAATATATAATGCCTTACTCAAATTCAGAGTGGCATCAACACCAGGAAATGGAATACCACTTATGTAGATTTCAACCCATTGCTATTCAGCCATTATTATCCATCAGCAATTAAAATAAATTATGATCCCACCCCGTAAAATTTACTCAAAATTCAAGTTCCTAGCACCAGCTTAATGACAAACAGACAACCATGATTAGGGAAGTCATGCCACACAAGTTTGTGGTTAATGGGCACTTCTGTGCTTCTAATACTCATTCACAGGGTAAATACGAAGGGAGGTTATACAGCGCTTAACACTTTGTAGTTTCAAGAGGGTTTAATATCCCTACTTATTGATTATCAGTCAAAGGAGCACACTTATATTCACTGTGAGTACAAAAGGCGCATCTGAATTTGTAGTGACTCATTAAGAGGATCAAACATAAAACCTACAGGCAAATAAAAAAATATTTTATCAAGCAAGATGTACAGGTATTATCAATTTGAAAATCAAAAGGACCACTTAAAGTAAGGTTTAGATACTGGCATTCTATGACCTTCACTAAATGCTAAGTAAACAGTTCCCCAGGGAGAGGGTTTCTCTTTTCATGGATACCCCGTGATGCTGGGGTATCCAGCTAGCATCTCTATTCTTGGAACTGCTACTCAATAGAACAAACTATTTTTTCAGCTGTGGGCCTGTATTAAAAACCTAATCCACTAAGGCAACAGGGATAAAAGGATGTTTTTATGTATATTCTCACCAAATCATTCTTTTCCTATTAAAAGGTAATCAGAATTCTTGTTTCCCTTTGAAGTAAACAAATATGTCTGATTTCACATCTCACGGGACCAACTATTCCAAAGTATAAGCATGCAGCATTTTGAATTAACCATATTTCTAATCATATAAATTCATCTGCATTCAGCAGGGAATTACTACTGACTATGAAGGAAATGGTAATTTGAATTTTCCAGTATCAGTCTGCTGAGATTCTTTTTGATTTTGTGGGATGCTTTTTTTGGTAATGAGGTAAGAAAGCAATAACAAGAACGCTCTCCTGCCCTTCACTGATGCTGCAAACTGGTTCTACTCCAGTATCTTTATCTTTACAGGTTCATTTAAAGACTCTAGAACTTGGCATAAGGCAAGCACAAGAACTCTGGATGGTGCTTCCAGTCTGCTGAGCTGGTAAGGTTTCCCAGAAAACTGGAAGCATATGATATCATCAATCTCTGGGATTCTTGAATATTTAATACAGCTACATGGAATACACTACCTCCTTTAATCAGCTCCATTACCTGGCAACTACTCCAATATGACTGATTAAAATGTGTGTCTTAGTATCTTGATTATCTTTCCTGGCTTCCAAATTTATCTAGTAGCTGTCAGAACCCAAGCTTACTCCTGCTGTTAAATCCTTTTTACAAGATGTGATTCTACCCTAAGGTTTTAATACTCTTCCCTGAGATACTTATAGATATGTAATATGCCAAATGATAGTAATTGTCATGATTTGGGGAGAAAGTAATCAACGTATATTTTAACATTTAAATAGTACATTGGCCAGTACATTCAATTTTTCTTTTTTGGTACTGAAAGAGCAATTAGTTACTAGGACAAGGGTCACAGCCAGTGGTCATAAGGTGGCCTTGTTTAAGCCTTCACACAGTGAATCCTTTATGTGAAAAAGAATCGGGGCGCCTGGGTGGCTCATTCTGTTGAGCATCTGTCCTCGGCTCAGGTCTGATCTCACTGTTTGTGAGTTCGAGCCCCACATCAGGCTTTGTGCTGATAGCTCAGAGCGTGGAGCCTGCTTTGGATTCTGTGTCTCCCTCTCTGTCTCTGATCCTCTCCCACTCACACTCTGTGTGTGTCTCTCTCTCAAAAATAAATAAACATCAAAAAACTTTTTTTTAAAAAAAAGAATCCACCTAAATATCTACAGAGCCCTCCTTTTAATTTTTTTTTTTAACGTTTTATTTATTTTTGAGACAGGGAGAGACAGAGCATGAATGGGGGAGGGTCAGAGAGAGGGAGACACAGAATCTGAAACAGGCTCCAGGCTCTGAGCTGTCAGCACAGAGCCCGACGCCGGGCTCGAACTCACGGACCGCAAGATCATGATCTGAGCCGAAGTCGGCTGCTTAACCGACTGAGCCACCCAGGCACCCCCAGAGCCCTCCTTTTAAAAATAAAACTTTGTACATCCCAATTCCTATAATAGCAGGTTCAGAGATGATCATTGGTTTCACATGGTTTTATGGTAAAATTCGTAATAATAGCTTTGTGAATTTTTAAATTACATATTATCAATGGGACAATATTTACTAACATCCAAGACCATGAATTGTCACTCTTATTAGAACTATCTTCATTTTGCAGGACCAAAAAATGGTACTTATAAATTGGCTCTGTTCAGAAATTGGGCTTCTCCTGCTTAGAACAAAGCTGGTATTTGTTGGTTGCCAAAGAGAAAAAGAGCAATGACATATTACTATTGTCCTTCAAAATTTAGCATCTTTGTTTATGAACAACAGCAAGACCCAGGGAGGAACAGATAGCTTTCTAGTTAGATTGGCTGATATTTGGGTACCTGAGGGCAACAACAACCTAAGGATCAGGGTTTCGCCTCCAAAGATTCTGTCCTGGGACACCCAGCTCTTACCAATTTTCTGCGTTCCCTTTTCTAGAGGAGTCATGTGGAGATGACTGAGAAGTCATCGAACTGTGCTATTCTTATCCACTGATGCCCAGGGATTTTTTTTTGAAGTTTTCCTCACTTTTTTTTTTTTAATTTTATTTTTTATTTTTTAAAATTTACATCCAAATTAGTTAGCATATAGTGAAACACTGATTTCAGTAGATTCCTTAATGCCCCTTACCCATTTAGCCCATCCCCCCTCCCACAACCCCTCCTGTAACCCTCAGTTTGTTCTCCATATTTATGAGTCTCTTCTGTTTTGTCCCCCTCCCTGTTTTTATATTATTTTTGTTTCCCTTCCCTTAGGTTCATCTGTTTTGTCTCTTAAATTTTTTTTTTTTCAACGTTTATTTACTTTTTGGGACAGAGACAGACAGAGCATGAACGGGCGAGGGGCAGAGAGAGAGGGAGACACAGAATCGGAAACAGGCTCCAGGCTCTGAGCCATCAGCCCAGGCCCGACGTGGGGCTCGAACTCACGGACCGTGAGATCGTGACCTGGTTGAAGTCAGACGCTTAACCGACTGCGCCACCCAGGCGCCCCTGTTTTGTCTCTTAAAGTCCTCATATGAGTGAAGTCATATGACTGACTGACTGATTTCACTTAGCATAATACCCTGCAGTTCCATCCACGTAGTTGCAAATGGCAAGATTTCATTCTTTTTGATTACCGAGTAATACTCTATTGTATATATATATACCACATCTTCTTTATCCATTCATCCATCAATGGACATTTGGATGCCCAGAGATTTTTAATAATGCTCCACAGAAAGTTTCCTGAAGGAACACACAGGGGACACCAAGTGGGAAAGACAGGTTTCCCATCAAAAAGGCTTGTTATTTTTTTGACCGCTTAAACATCATTGTCAGGGAGCACGCACCTGTCGCACTAGAGACCTGCTCCCCTGCAGGGACTGCAGACAGAATTGAGAAAGAGCACCCAATCTGAGCAGGAGAAACACCAGACTCGAGAGGATCCACTGTAGACCAGCATGGGAACTCTTTGGGGGCTTTCGTCAGATTATGAATGAGGAGAACCTAGAGACTGATGTGAGCACTTATTGTGTAACTTCTAAGGTTTATTGCAGATGTTTGAGAAGCTGTATGTAGTTCCTTTTATAAACCACGTTCAATCCATCTCAAAAAATTCTCTTGTCAGTGCCACACATGCCAAGACAAGTCTTGTCATATTCACATATTCTTGTCATATTCACTAAGTCTCAAGTTTAAAAGCTCTTTTACATTTTGTTAAATACAGATGCCTGGACTGGGTACAATCTCCTGACTGTTAGTCACCTGGTGCCCAGAAAGGACAAAATGAGGTCAGCAGTTTCCCTTGCAGAATCTGTTTTATCAAGTCAGCCAAGCA